GCTACCACCACTGACTGCTCTGACAGGGATCACAACAGAGGGTCCTGGACAGAGCTGGAGAAAAATGTAGAACAAAATTCTAACTCACAAAAAATGACCAGACTTATTGGCCTGACAGAGACTGGAGATACCCCGAGCGTATGGCCCCCCCAACACCCTTAGCTCAGTAATAAAGTCACTCCTGAGGTTCACCCTTCAGCCAAAGATTAGGCAGCCCCATAAAACAAAACGAGACTAATGGGGCACAACAGCCCAGGGACAAGGACTAGAAGGCAGGAGGGAACAGGAAGGCTGGTAATAGGGAACCCAAGGTCAAGAAAGGAGAGTGTTGACATGTCGTGGGGTTGTTAACCATTGTCATAAAACAATATGTGTACTGTTTAATGAGACTATTTATTCTGTAAACCTTCATCTAAAGTACAATTTAAAACAAAAACAAAAGGTTAGCAATTCTGATCCACCAGCTGCTCCTTGGAAGCCCTGTGGGGCAGTTCACTCTGTCCTGTAGGGTTGCTATGAGTTGGAATTGATTCAGTGGCAAAGGGTTTGGTTTTTGGTTTTTATAGTTGCCCATTATGCAAATCACAGCTGACTTAAATCTGCTCCCACACCCCTTTGACAAAGACAACACTATTGTACTTAACCCTTTTCTACCCTGTTTGGCTTGCCATTACTCCTGTATTTCTGTAACTTCCGTCCTGATTTTCCTATAACGATTGTTATAGACTAGAGAAATATTCAGAAATTTGTTTTTAGGAATTCATTGGGTATGATATATGGAACTGTAGGTTATATGGGTCTCTTGCATTTTTTTTCGCCACTTACAATGAAAGTATATAACTATTCTACTAAGCATTAGCACCAGAAACGTGGCACAAAAATGAAACTTAATAATTGTACGTTTTTATCTTGGTAGCAAATCTACTAAAATATTTGATAAGGAAGAAAGCCATAATTTCAGACACTATTTAATATAACATTATGAGATATGGTATTAAATGGTCAAAAATAAACAGTTGATAAGGTCAGATCTTGAATTCTATGTTTAATGTAAATTAACCTCTAAATATCTATCTAATTCTAGACAAAACTTCCCTGGAAGAGAGCATTTCTTGTTTTGGTTATGTGTGTTTCTGCTGTCTTAGGCAGCCAGCGTATTGGTTTACATGGAGCTGGAGGGTTGTGCACGCTAGTGTTGACTTTCGTTTCAGGAATTTATTGGTCCAGAGAAAAGGTGAATATTTTAACTCTACCAATTCATTTTTAGAGATAAAATAACTGTATTTTTTTCATCTATATTGACTCTTGGAGCCCTGGTGGCACAGTGGTTAAGAGCTTGGCTGCTAACCTAAAGGTTGGCAGTTCAAATCCATCAGCCACTCCCTGGAAACCCTATGAGGCAGTTCTGCCCTGTCCTATAGAGTCACTAGATTTGGAATTGTCTCGATGGCAACAGGTTTGGTTTTTTGGAATATTGACTATTTAGAAAACTCCTGTGTTCTATTTGGAAGATATTCCAAAAGTTTTTGTGTCCTTGAGGGAGGGTATGAATCAACCAAGTAAATAAGATGTATAAGAAAAGAATCTGGAAATAACACCAAAATGCAATATGAAGTTGAATTATCAGGATTTTTTCTTTTATTTTCTAAAATTTTATGTAATATGATTATACAACTTTTATTAATTGCATTATTTTTTCATTAAAATTTTAGTTATATAATTAGTAACTGAAAACATGCCCATAAAAGATTAAAACAATACAGAAGGGCCACATACAGAATAAACTGTAAAAGACTCCTTTATCCCCCATCACTCCCAAATATCAAACCTCCTTCCCAGAATTAATCATTTCTTCTAACGAGTCCTCTGTTTGTAGGTACTCAGGTTTTTTCCCGTTTTTTCTTTGTTATCACGAATAGTGCCATTATGAGCAGTTTTGTTGATGTGTCTTTTTGAACATGTACAAGTGCTTCTGATGGATAGATTTCTAGAAATGGAATTGCTGGGTTAAGAAATGATACATTTCTCTGTAAGCCTTCATCTAAAGTGAGAATAGCAGCACAATTGGAAGAGTATAGTCGATGTCACTGAACTGTGCATGTAGAAATGGTGTATCTTTGGCTATGTATATTTTCACCAAAAAAAAAGGTCGAGAAGGGAGAGGGTTGACATGTTGTAGGCTTGTTAATCAATGTCATAAAACAATATGTGTACTACTGTTTCATAAGAAACTATTTGTTCTGTAAGCCTTCACCTGAAGTACAATAAAAAAAAAATGATACATTTTGATTTTGATGGTTACTGCCAAAATACCCCTGCAAAAGTCTTTAATTTGCATTCCTACCAACAGTATAGGAGAGTTCCTAATACCTTAAACAATCATCAGCACTAGGTATTTATCACTACTGCTGTTTTTTTTACTTTTATTTTTTTACTATCTGATTGGTAAATAATTATATGGCCCTGTTATTCTTTATTTACATTTCTCTGATTACTAGTAGAGTAATTCTCTGACAACTAGCCGATAGAGAGACAGATAGATAGAAGCCCAGGTGGCACAGTGGTTAAAGCACTGGGCTGCTAACCAAAAGGTCAGCAGTTTGAATCCACCAGCTGCTGCACAGGAGAAAGATATGGCAGTCTGTGTCCATAAAGATTACAGCCGTGGAAACCCTGTGGGGCAGTTCTACTCTGTCCTATAGGGTTGCTGTGAGTTGGAATCGACTCGATGGCAATGAGTTTGGTTTTTATAATATATATATAATAAAGTTTTATGTATCTTCTATTTAAAAAAAAGATAAGCCCAGACCAAAACTAAAATTTCTTCATATAAATTTCTAGAGAAGGGCATCTGACTGACCTCTGGTATATGTACAGGAAGGCCTTGGAGGATAGCCAGAGTCCCATTATGTCAGTAGGGCCTTTCCTATAAAGATATAATTTGGGAGTGGGACTGGGAAAGAAAAGAGAGTTTAAGGAATCAGTAGCTCTGAAGTTCGCAGTATGGATCCCTTGGAAGCAGGCCTAAGAGACTACTAGAAAAAAAATTCTTTTCTAGTAGTTTGTAACATATCAGGACTTACCTTTTATGGAACTGGGTTCCAGGATGATTGTTAGCGGAGGTCTCTCTAACTCCTTTCTGAGCTGGGATGTTTTCATGAGCTTGATTTGTTCTAATTAGGGATGATGTGGTTTGCTCTCTATTCAGTTACCTTACAAACAAAAGCTAGAACCATCAGAGCATGTCTGGATCTCCAAAGACCCATAAGAATAAGTTATGTCACTTTGTCTGTGACAAATTTATCAAATGATTTGTTTATTTTATAGCTTTGTGGATTTCTTTTAGTCAAATCGTACTCAGTGTTTAATAGTAAAAACCTACTCAATTTTTATTAATTAGGTTTCAACATTTCTTCTGAGAATATCTTAATTAAATGTTAAATGAGACTTTAACTTTCTGAAATACAGTTTTTGCAATGATTCGGGTTTTTTTTTGTTGTTGAAAATACACACAGCAGAATATATACCAATTTAACAATTTCTACATATACAGTTCATTGTCATTGATTATATTCTTCAAGTTGTGCAACCATTCTCACCCTACTTTTCAGAATTGTTCCTCCCCAATTTACATAAAATCACTGCCCCCTAAGCTTTCTATCTAACTTTTCCAGTTGCTGTTGTTAGCATTGATTAAGAGTAAGGGTTGTACAGCCAATTAATGTAATTGATGTTGATAAGTTATACACCTGTAAAAAGTTGAATTGGCAAATATTGTGTGATATATATATTTACAACAATAACAACAACAAAGAAAGAGTAGCTGCTGAGGCTACTTATGTACAACCAAACACCTCATGGGATTGTGTTCCTTGGTTTGGAAATTTAGAGTCATGGTTTCACAGGACTTCCCAGTTAATTGGCCTAATATCGGTTTAGTGCTTCTGTTCTACCTCCTAGTTTGTTTTATAGTGCCTGGGGTCTTAAAAGCTTGCAAGTGGCCACACAAGGCACAGTAATTGCTCTCTATTTGCCTGGAGAACAGAGGAAGATGGAGAGTCAGGAGTAGGAGGAGGAAATGGAAGGCATGACTAATTGCCTCCATGAACAACTACTTTCTTTGCCATGAGACCAGAAGACCTGAGTGGTGTCAGGCTACCATTACTGAACATTTTGATGAAAGATCCTATCGTGATCAAAAGTCAGAATACTGATCAAAAGGGGGAAAATGTGGAAGAGAATTTCAAATTCTCACGGAATCCATACTCTCTGAAGCCATTGAGGCTGGATGAACCCCTCAAACTATTGCCCTAAGATAATCTTTAAACCTTAAACCAAAAATATCCCTGGAAGTCTTTAAACCAAACAGTAGTTTAGCTTAATTAGTGAAATGCAATTATTTTTATGTATCACAATAACTATATTTCTCTTTCCTGTAGATTAGAGTCCAAAAAATTGTTGCAGCTACATGGAATATTTTTCAACCCCTTCTTTTTGGCTTGGTTGGATCAGAAGTATCTGTTTCATCTCTTCCATCAAGTGCTATTGGTAAGAATAATTAGAGGCATAAAAATTATAAGATTTGAAAATCCTTAGGAAAACAATGAATATTTATTTATAATATATCTTTTAAGGGTTACACGGACCTTCTTCAGCAACTCATGTTGATGTAGTAACATATACCTTCTCCTCCTTTATCCTCTTTGATGTTTGTTACCAGAGACTGCCCTGAATATCTTACCTGAGTGATGTGGGAAAACGGAGATAAGATTTCTTCTCTGCGCTGAAATAGCAGATACCATCAGCACCTTTTGAATAGTTTCATTTATATTGAAAACTCAAAATCTATTAACCTAGAACTGAATAACTATCATCTGTCTTTTTTTTGTAGTATCTCCACCATCAGATAATTTCAGTCATATTTGTAATTTTTATATATACATATTTTTTTTTACTTAAAGACACAAAGAGACAATACCCTTAAAGTGCTTTCAAGTGTTTTACAAATAATATTTCTAGAACTAAAGAACTATTTCTTCCCAAATATACTTACTTTTGCTTTTATCTGTTGTAGGCGTTTGTGTTGCTACCTTGAGTTTGGCACTGTTGGCACGAATTTTTGCCACATTTTTATTGATGTGTTTTGCTGGTTTTAGTTTTAAGGAAAAAGTATTTATTGCTTTAGCATGGATGCCCAAAGCTGCAGTCCAGGTAAGAATGTATTGAATCATTCTAATAAATTTAGTTTTGATGATTTTTTAGAATTCTAAATGAAAATGTTACTCCAGTCACAAAATGTGGGCTACTAGCCTTACTTTTAAACTATTCCATTGATCATAACTACTAATTAAAATTAATGACAACTTTTAAAATCTCAGTTTTAAAAGCAATTCTTCTGAAATTGAAAAGTGTACTTTAAATGGAAAATACAATTGATCCTCATTATTCATGGATTCCACATTTGCAAATTGCCTGCTTGCTAGAATTTATTTGTAATCCCAAAAGCAGTATTCCTGGTACTTTCACAATCTTTTGTGGACACACGCAGAGTGGTAAAAATTTTGAGTCATCTGATGCTTACATTCCCAGCTGAGTTCAAACAAGTTGATGCACTGCATTCTTGTTTCAGCTCTCATACTATTTTCTCAGTCTATTCAATGCCACTTTTTCCATGATTTTCTGCTTTTTGTTGGTGATTTTGCTGTTTAAAATGGCCCTTAAGCATAGTGCTGAAATGCTGTCTAGTGTTCCTAAGCTCAAGAAGGCTGTGATGTGCCTTAAGGAGAAAAGAAGTGTGTTAAGTAAGTTTTGTTCAGGCATTAATTATAGTGCAGTTGACCGTGAGTTCGATGTTAACAAATCAACAGTGTATAATAAATATGGTATCTTAAACACACGTAAAACAAGTTTATATATTGATCAGTTGACAAAAATGTTGTAACCGGAGGCTCACAGGAACCTAACCCCTGTGTCCCCTAGGAGCAGTGCTTTGTTCAGTATTCACTAATTGAGGTTCAAGGCGACTTTGTTGAACGTAATTACCGCTAATAATGAGAATCGACTGTAGTTCCTAAATTTATGAAAATATTTTCTAACTAAAATATAAAATAAGAGTATGCCTAAAAATTGGAACTTTTATATTTTACTGAATGTTATGATTTTTAAAGTAGAGACTCACTGATTTTTTATAAAATGTTTTTCCTACTCCTGCCACCTACTCTACCATATATGTATATATATGCACATATTCTGTTAGTGTTTAAGCATCTCAAAATAGTTGAAGCTTTACTTGGACTCTAGACTTCACCAGCTTTGCCATCCTTACCTTCTCCTGGAGCATGACTAGGCTCTGCACAATACAGTTTCTGTGTATCTCCCAGTCTTATCTACCTATACCCATCTCCACAAAGATGCCATGCTCTGTCTGCCAGGATAGCCTCTTCTCCACACCCTCTTCAACTCATGAAGACCTACTCTCCTTTCAGCTCAAGTAGGAGTCACATTCTCTTGTTGCATGCTCACAGATCATCTTGTATTTCGTTTCATCACACTTATTAGAGTTTTCGATTACACGATTATTCATATGACTATTTAGTTAATAACTGAATTGTCCCACTAGACTCTATGGAAAAAACAGGGACAGTGTCTGTTTTTCTCATTATTGTTTTCCTAGCACTTAACACAGTGCCTGGCACACAGGAAGTATCCGATAAGTATATACTGCAAGCCTACATGAATGAATGACAAGTGAAACTGTAATTTGGCTCTCTGATTCAGGGCATTCTCCTTCTACTAAAAAGTATTGCTGTTATTGTTAGACTGTTTAACCTGGCAGCATAATGCCTGGATTTACTCGTATTCTTTTCCCCATTCTTATTCCAAAACAGAAACTGGTTAGTTTCCATGCAACAAAATTCTCTACACATCATGGTTCGAAAAGCAGGCTATGGGGCCAGGCTGCCTATGTTTGAATCCCCGTTTACTAGTCCTATAACCTTAGGCATGTTACTTCTTAATCTCCAAGTGCTTCAGTTTCCTCGTCTTTACTCCAAGGGCTATGATCGTATATATTTCATAACAATATTGTGAGGATTAAATGAGATAATCAGTGTTCAGTGCTTAGCACACTGTTTGGCACATGGTGGTGCTCGGTTAACAATGTCATTATTTTAAGTAACATAAATAATACTACTAACTTCTGATTTTAATCTCTGCTGTATCAAAGCTGTTGTCATCAAGTTGATTCCTCCCCATGGCAACTCCATCTGTGTCAGAGTAGAATTGTGCTCCATAGGGTTTTCAATGGCTCATTTTCCAGAAGTAGATGACCAGAACTTCAGAGGTACCTCTGCGTAGGCTCAAACCGCCAGCCTTTCAATTAAAAGCCAAATGCATTAACCGTTTCCACCACCCAGGGACTCCAATCTCTGCTATTGGGAATAATAAATGTATACAAAGAGTATCTATTCCTTTATACTCTTTCCTTCCAATAATACACTTGTAATTTTCTTTATTATTCAATAATTTTCATAAAGCAAGGAAAAGAAAAGCAGGTATGAGGAAAGAGACCACGCCCACTGAAGCCCTGCAGTATTATTCTGCTTCAGGCGGCTCCCATCTACTGGGTCCAGGCTATCTTCCGCACAAAAGAATATCAAGCTAGTTGTAGGGATTGACAAGACATGAAATTAATTATTTATTCAAGTGGAGAGTCACATTAACAACAATAGATGATTAAGTCACAACTGAATTGAATGAACAAATAATTTTACATTTCAAATCTAGGGAAGATTTTTCACCTTTATCCTCCTCTTCCTTTCTCTGTTGCTGAATAGAATGAGCTAAACTTCACTCCTTTCTTATTCCTTTGTGTAGAGACACTGATGAAAATTAGAGTGGAAAAAGGGAAGAAATAAATAATTTAGTTCACAAGTTTAAGTTCAGTTTGACAATTGTGTTCTTCTAAAGAAATAATATTAGATTTCAGTCACTGGGCTGAATCTATTTATCGTCTAATATTGGTCCCCACATAACAGGTTGAGGATAAAATGAATTTATAAATATAAAGCTTTCAGAATGATACCTGCCATGTGAGAAATGTTGTATAAATGCTTTAAATACTATTTTACTTTCACCGTCATCATAATCATCTATTAGAGGCAGGTTTTTTTTTTTTTTTTTGGCTGTTCCCTTATGCGCAACTATAAGATTCTTTAGAGTTAGTTTTCTATCTAATTTATCTTTTTCTTTCCAGCATCTAGCATATTGATTTTGTGTTCAATAAAGAGTTATCATATAAAACTTATACCACTGCTGATCACTGATATTGGATTTGGAAACTGATCTTAAATTGAACAGTTCTTTTGTCATAATGTCCCATATTGCTAGAAGTAATGTTTCTAGCATTATACTGTTACTTTGCAACTCCATAGAAGATAAACATTTGTATTTAATCACTAGAAATTTTAAGCCTAGATTAGTAAATGTAAAGAAAAAGGATTAGCAAGAAATTTGTATTATGTTAATAAAGAATATATATGCTAGAAGATATCTGGAAAAAACATTTTGTGACCCAGTAGGGTTTTATATACGTCATTTTAAAACAATAAAGAATTCAAAGGAATGTTCTCCTTTTATATAGAGAAAACACACAAAGCCATCCATCTTAAAAATTGAAAGCCCAGATACCAAATTTCCATGCTAAGGAAGGGGTGAAATAGGTCAATAATCTAGGATAGGTCTACAGTCTCTTCCCACCCTGGGCTGTAGCAACCATGAATAATTTATCCAAAATATATCCATCCAGAAGATGCACAAGTACTTATGTGTAAAAGAGTGTACTAGACAATAGAAGCAAGAGATTTGTAAAATAATCTAACCATGGTTCCTGCTTTCCAAGATCCTGTTGTTGTTGTTGTGAGATGCCGGCGAGTCGGTTCTACTGCCTGGTCCTGTGCCTTCCTCACAGTCGTTCTTTGTGCCCATTGTTGCAGCTACTGTGTCAATCCATCCCATCGAGGGTCTTCGCCTTTTTTGCTGACCTTTTACTTTACCAAGCATGATGTCCTTTTCCAGGGATTGGTCCCTCCTGATAACGTGTCCAAAGTACATGAGACAAGGTCTTGCCATCCTCGCTTCCTAAGAGCACTCTGGCTATATTTCTTCCAAGACAGACTTGTTCGTTCTTCTGGCAGTCCATGGTATATTCAATATTCTTTGCCAACACCATAATTCAAATGCATCAGTTCTTCGGTCTTCCTTATTCATTGTCCAGCTTTCACATGTATATGAGGCTATTGAAAATATTATGGGTTGGGTCAGGCGCACTTTAGTTCTCAAAATGAGATCTTTGCTTTTTAACACTTTAAAGAGATTTTGCAGCAGATTTGCCCAATGCAGTATGTCATTTGATTTCATGATTGCTGCTTCCATGGGCGTTTACTGTAGATCCAAGTAAAATGAAATCCTTGACAACTTCAATCTTTTCTCTGTTTGTCATGATGTTGCTTGTTTGTCCAGTTGTGAGGATTTTTGTTTTCTTTATGTTGAGGTGTAATCCATACTGAAGGCTGTAGTCTTTGATCTTCATTAGTAAGTGCTTCAAGTCCTCTTCGCTTTCAACAAGCAAGGTTGTGTCATCTGCATATCACAGGTTGTTAATGAGTCTTCCTCCAATCCTGATGCCACGTTCTTCTTGGTTCCTTCCACATGGCTCCTGCTTCCCAAGATCCTATATCACAATAATAGACTTTCAAATTTTACCAAAAGTGGATTTGGGCATCACAGATCTCTTAATCATTCATTTCAGTTCTCTTACTAACTAGCCATTTGATAGGGGAATAAAGATTTCTCTGGTGATACCATTATGTTTAACTTTTATCAAGATACTAACTACACATTTAAGAATGGTCATTACAATAGATAAAATGCTTAGTTCAGACAGACTGAACTTGTTTCTTTTTGATTTTTATTTTCACCAAGAACCACAATTTTGGTTGTAATGGTGTTAATTTTTATTACTATTTGTAGTGTCACTACTGATTCTTGTTTTTACATTCTGGGTTATTTTAGAAACATTAATGCCAGCTCAATTTGTAATTTCTTACTTTTATAAATTCACATTTTAAAATCTCCAGCTTATGTGTTTATTAAGAGATTACTGAGTATCTAGAAACAAATTTGCTCTTAAGAGATTAAAAAAAAAAAGTACA